ACACACACACACACACACATACACAATGGCAGAAAAAGAGAATGACAGAGAGAAACAATAAACACAAAAGAAACGCTGACAATTAAGCACTCAAGTATTCGAAAAAAGCACGATCTGTATCAGAACAGACAGACGGATATGCATATCAAACACCGAAGAATGTAGCAAAACAAAAGAAAATTGCTCCCACGGGGCCCCCTGCTTACTGATAATGACACTCGATATCCCCCTCTCCTCCAACTCAATTTTCTTTAGCACCCCCCACCCCACCCCCGATAGTTCTATATTTTTATCTGTTTACTTTTTCCTATTGTCTGACTGCCTGCTTGCGTGCCTGCCTGTCAGTCTCTCCCCCTCTTTCTCTCTTTCTGTCTCTCTCCCCTCTCTTTCTTTCTTTCTCTTCCTTCTACTTTACCGTGTGTCCCTGCCTCCATCATTTCCAGGCTTCATATCGTCCCCTTTCATATCCCTGATACAAAACCCTATTAGCATAACCAACGAATTCATGCCCCCACCTCCACACCCCCCACCTCCACACCTCCCACCATATCACCAGCCTTTCCCCCTCTTTCTCCCTCCTCTCTCAGTATCTCATTTCTTCTAGAACATCCACCCCTTTCCACCACAGCCCCTACTTCCCATCTCAGAGAGTCATTGACCATATTTTCCAAGCGTCCTCCTTCCTCTATTACCGTTCCCTGTAACTAAACCCAGCCACCAACACCCTCAAGGAATAGGAGGTTTTACCGTCAACAATAACCCGAGAACAAACTGGTTTTTAAAAAACCCAAAACACGAGCCGTTTTGTTTCGCTAAGTAGGAAAAGCAGATGAACATTTTGAAAGGGGAACAAAGCGCTGAGCCCATGCTTTGACACGAGGCCGCCTTGTCGGTATTTATCTGCTCGGCCATAAGACCTCGTCTCCCCCTCCCCACCCACCCACCCCCCCTTTTCCCCTATACACAAAATATATATGTACTAAGATCTACACGAACCCAATGCGCTTTGGCATGCAACACTCAAATTTACGGTTACCCCTTGAAGTAGCTCGGATGTATCGCCATTCGCCAACAAAAAGACACGGCGAGTCATTATTTTGTCGTTAAATAGCTCCGGATTTCTGAACCGCTGCCGTCCTGTCTACCCCTTCAATTTCAGATCAAAATCCCCGCTTCTAGGCTTTTGTAGTTTTTTTCTTGCTCTCTTTTTCCCCCATTTCTTTTCCTTTTCTTCTTTTTATGACTATGCTGTGTTGGTTCTTCTAGTTTATTTTTTTCCTTCTTTTTGGCACTCTCCTTACCGTATATTTCACCTCTAAAATGTGTGCATAGCTACGAGCGAAGTCACAGTGGGCGAAATTATAGATTACGATGGCCAATTTGGCAGGTGGTGGTGTTATTCTGCCATCATATCAAACGTTTATAATAGCCCAGCCTATGCGTTGGTGCACCTCAAAAACCACGCCATAATAGCAGGGTCTATGGCCCAATCTTGATGTTTCGGGTGATGATAAATCCGGTGTGAAGATGTTTATCAGAAATACTGAGCGAGAATAACGATAAAAATTGTTTCTTTTTCCCACTTTTCAATTCAGTTTGTCAAGGTATGCGGTACGAAGCTTACATT